TAGCTTATCCTCAGTCACAGGACAGACACCCTCTGGGACCTTTTTTTTCCCCTCTTTTATGTCATAGAGGCCTCATCGCCTTTCAGGTTCTTCTGAAGCTCGTTTTGCCAAGATTCTTGGAAGAGGACACTCAGTTCTGGGCACTACAGGCAGCTCCCCGTCACCTCATGTCCAAAACTATTACCAGGACTTCTTTACAAACTTGGATTTTAACTGCTTACTAAGAGTCTCCCTCTTGGTTCATTTTACAAGCCAACTGTAGAAGCATACTCTTGTGTCCTAAAGCGACAGGTCTGAAGGGGAGCAGACCTGCCTTCTGGAGAAGGAGGCTGGGTAACTATCGTTGAGGGCACGATGCCTAGAGGGCTAGCACTCCCCCATTCCCGCCCCTGTGCCGGGGTGTCCCACGTGACCTCCTTCCCTCAGGCAGTACTTTAGGCACAAATACCTCCCTTAAGAGCCTTGCAGTGACAATGTAGATCAAGGCCAAACTTCACATCTGCACAGGAACATTCGCTCTGCCTGGTCAAACTTCTACGACCCTGAGGCTGCTGCTCTTACAATCCGTGAAAACCCCCTTCCCCAACCCTTCTCGGAACCTGTGCCCAGGACACTGTGTCACCGGAACGTCCCCCTGTTCTCTCCCCTTTTTCTCCTGTTCTCTCTGTCCGCACGGGCTGAGCAATGCAATTTCTATACTTCCCCTCAGTGCCTGCGTGAAGCAGGCCCTTCTTGCCACCAAAGGTGTGCGGAACTGTGCTATTATCTGGATTTTAAGATTTTTATAAACATTAAAGTCACTAGCACACCGTTTAGCTTTGGAATTATTTTCAAGCTGCTTTATATATTATGCTTGAATTTTTAACAAATTATAAACTTCTTGAGGCAAGATCGATGCCTTTCATTTATTTGGTATTCCCATATTTTCTTCGAAGGTGCCGGTTACAGGAAAATCATGTGTTGGCTTACAGTGGTACTATCACTCAATTTCCAAATATTTTTTGCTACCTTTTCCCAGTTTTTCTTAAGGAACCCTGATTTAGATGTATGTCTGGCAGCCACAAGACTTCATTTTCAAAAAAGCTTCTTATTGGCGTCACCTAAGAACTAGTTAGAAAAGCAGCCTCAGGCCCATTCCAGACCAACTAAATCCTACTCTTTCTTTTTGGCAAGACACCCAGGTGGTTCTTGCACATATGAAAGTGTGGGAAACTGCACTACAGAATCCAGTCAGAGTCAGCTGACCATTAACTTTCATGTTAAAACCAAAGAAATATCTTTTTAAGTCTCCATTTTATTATTCATGCATGTATGCATGTGGGGGTGGGGTAAGAAAGAGGAAGAGAACACCAGAGGAAAATTTGGGAGGCAATTTCTTCTTCTTCTTCTTTCTTTTTCTTTTTTCCTCCTTGCTGGAGTGGATTGAACTCAGAAATATCTAGTAAACGTATTTTCTATTTAGACTAATGTCTGCTGTCCTTTTTTTTTTTTTTTATTTTGGATGAACATAAGCAAAGATGTCAGGATATTATAACAGAAAAACATACTTGAAGTATTTGAGACCTGAAATCATTTGATGAATATTTAAAAGCTGGCTGCTTTTTAAAGGCATTTATAATTCAAGGTATTTGATTAACTTTTAGAGTTGAGTGTTGGTAGGTTTAAAATCAAAAGGAAAGGTTTGTAGCGGTCTGGTGGGTTTTTAAAGATGGAGAGAAGCAGGGAAATTGTTTTCGTAGCCCACTTAGCTTTGATATTTTTGTTACAGCCACATAACAGTTCCCCTTTAATCTTCCATTTGTCACATGGCCAACACAGGGCTAGTGACGACTGTGTCCCAGCTGCTCAATAGATATTCTGAGAATTACTGGGATAGTCCATCAGGTATTTTAATTTGCCAAGGACAAGCAATGTAAACATATAGTGGACAAACAAGTAGCGTGGTGTAATGCTGATTTTATGCAGACGTTAGTCCGTGGCAGAAGTCACCATGGAATTTTAAGACAGACATCCTGAGGAAAGGGCAAGGATGAGAGGTTAAGGAGTAGACAGTCTAAACCTTAATGGAACATATATATCCAACAATATAAAAGTCGTGTCATAAACCTGTTTATAATCTATAAAAGATAAAAGATAAGCAATGTAACTTCTGGTAGATAGAGCCAAACTCCTCACAATGATCATTTGGAACGTTGTGTTCAACTGTGAGCCCTTTGTTTTGTGCAGAATATTACTATGAGCAGTCAAAATACAAATTTTTCCCTAAATTCTAGAAACTCAGGTTAAACACATCATCTCACAAACTTCTGCTAGGAGTTCATGATTAGCTCTGTGTTACTGCACTGCCAGGCTCTGTTGTAGAGGTCGGGGAAACGCTGTCCCAAAATTCTTAAGGCTTTTCTCCCTGCCGTATAAATGGCTGTTCATGTAGGTGACAATAATCTCAGGAGGAAGGAAATGTTTAGAATCAAGGTTAACTAATGTCAACGAGGATAGCATTGGACCGTTGATATATCGCATGCCCTACGGAATTGTAAGTATACATGTGATGTGTTGGGCCAAATGTAATCTCCTGGGACACACGTCTTCTGATGTTGAAACTGGAAGCAGATTTCTCCAGTGGGTGTGCTGAGGTGCATTCCAGTCAGTTCCTCCTGGGAAAGTGAGAGCAACCGACCCTGTCAAGGACATCACTCACCCAGTAAAGGAAAACAGGGGAGTCCTACCAAATTAAAATTAATACACAGAGCCGCATTGCTTTCACATGGGATTATAATTTACAAATTTGTATCCAGGTGAATTGACTTATTTCCAAGTCAAATTTTGTAATTGTTTCCTAAATATTGACCATGTCATCTCACTGGTTTAAAATATTTTAAAGACAGCAAACATACAGCAAAATTTGCATGAAGAATCTTAAAGTAGCGATTACAGCACCAGGAGATTCCTAGTCGAGTTCTCAGGGAGTAAACAAACCAGGACAAAACAGAAGTATTGAAACAACCAATAGGATGTAGAAAAAAATGCCAGAAGACTTTAAAAAGCTTACATCTGTAGGCTGCATTCAGCTTGCTCTTTGCAAGCTCAGTTTCATTTTATTGTACTTTTTTTTGTGAAGTAATGTGAGCACCCCAAAAAGTTACTTTTTTAGCTGATGACTAAGGGCATATCTACATTAGAGAAAATAGTACACAGCCTTCTAGAAACTTTCTTTGTTACAGACATTGCACAGAATCCTCCAAGACACATTGTCTTGCTTAAATAATGTACAGACAGTATTTGGCAGTGTTATTACAAAGAGAAGATGCTCAGCAGAGGAACCAATATTTTATCACCTAAAATTTAAGATTAGAGCTTAGTGTGGGTTTTAGGTTTGTCCACCGTTATGAATGTACTCATAAGCATTTTAAAATAACTTTTTAAAGTTATTTTAATTCAGTTTTAACCTAGTGGACTGAACTCAAAACTCAAAGGAGAATGGATACAATAATGTTACTGTGTGGTTGCTGTCTTTAAAATATTTTAAACCAGTGAGATAACAAGGTCAATATTTAGGAAACAATTACAAAATCCAATATAAGACAATAAAAGTAGTGGCAAACTAATATATACATAATTTCTAAGAAGCCTAAAGGGTAGTATAAGACACAGATGACTACGTTGGCTTTTCTCTCTTTGTCCTTTATCCACACACAGACATGCAGAGTAAATACACAAAAGCTCACTCTCTCTCTAACACCTAACAGGACTCCCTTCCCTCAGTAAGTGAATCTCCGAAATAACAGTATTGAGAGAAAATTCACAGGGAAGCTCCTGCTCCATTTATAAGAACTCCAGAAATTAAGTTCATGGAATCTAATGTGATCAATTCATGATCAGGTCTATTTTTTAAATTGCCAAATATGTGGCATTTCTTAATTCTGTTCTTTATGGTGGAAACAAAGACTAATGGGCCTTTAAAAGAAGAAGGGACTATTTAAAGTGATTTTTGCACTGACCCGGTGGCTCCTTACGTTCTCCTGAATGTGTCTTCTATCTTTGTTCCCTCTCTCACTAAGGAATTATTGAGGCGATGCTAAGAGATAATGGCTGAGGAGTTCTGTGTTGCTAATGAACCCAGCCCTTTCTCACGTCTGAGAGGACTTGGTCAGTGTAAGCCTCTATGGAGCCCTTAGTTTTTACACAGGTGATTGAAGCGCATTTTGTACAACGTGTCGCTATTTGGTTCAGTGAGGTAATTCAAATTGGTTGTTTTGAAGCTAATTTTAAATAGTTTCCAATTTTTTAGAAAAAAAATCAAAGTCTACAGGAATTTAACTAATGCATTTTGGAAAATGGACCTATTGCTTTCATCATTTGGTTAACTGGCAAATAAGAAAATCGAAATTGGCACCTGTGTGCTTACCATGTATTGGGAATCTGAATGTTCAATGAAGGACTCTCCTTGGAAGTTATTTCAATAGAAAGCCCCTCTGTGCGCAGGGAATGAAAACATTATGCTGACCTCACTGGGAGCTTGTGGGCTCCCCGGGGCATAGCTGTGACGCTCCAACACAGCGCTGCGGTGGGGACTCCCTAAGCCAATGTCCGGGCTCATTTTGGTTTCTGTCTACAGGATACCATTTGCTTTCTGCCTTCCAGAATTCATAAAAACTTCCCTCTCGCCATAGTTGCTTCCTGTTTTCAACTCTATTGTGGATTCATTATTCCCTTTCTGCAGCTCTTTTGTTATTTCAAGGAAATTGGAATGGACACCCGAGGTAGATAAATATGTTTCAGCCTTTCCTTGGAACCTAAGGCTTCAATTGTTTAAAAAAGAAGACAACTATTTTTAGACTGAGAGTTGGCAATTGGATACTTTTAATTGTCAAAAGGAATTTGCTGATAAAATGGAGACTGCCGCTAACCATTGGTTCCTCACACCATGAGACTTTTTAATTTGGGGAGGCCTTAATGGCATTTGAAAACAACGACCAAACAAATCTTTCTTGCTTTTACAGAGATCTGCCTGCTGACCAAGGGACGCCGCACCGCCAGCGTCCGGGCTGATACGTACTGTCGCCTGTATTCCCTTTCTGTGGACAATTTCAACGAGGTCCTGGAGGAGTACCCAATGATGAGAAGAGCCTTTGAGACGGTTGCCATTGACCGACTAGATCGGATAGGTACTCTCTTTGGCTTTGTCTTCTTCATGCATAATTCAGTTTTAACCTAGTGGACTGCACATATTTGCAATCATCAGTCCCAGATGCCAGTTCATAGGTTACTTATTAATTAGCATAGAAGTAGCAATTAGCTGTAGCCCTATTTCTGGAAAGATAGGAGGCTCTATCTAGCTTTCTCTTCTAAGTATTCTAGGTTTATTTACTCATCTCTATTTTCACTACCTATGCAATCTGATTTTCCCTGTGATGCCAAAACAATTTGAATCTTCAGGTAAAAAACCATGATAAGAATTCTATATAGCAGTAAAATAGAACTAAAAAAATACTAATGCATGAGTCTACATTACAAACCAAACTTATCACAAGGATTTTTTTTTTTAATTTTTAGGTATCACCTTTACATCTCATCCTTATATTAAGAATTGAAGACTTAAATAACTGTCTCAGTAGAAACTTCTTGAAATGTTTGTAATGCAGACTCAAGGGAAAAGAAGCCTTGCTAGAAATGTCCTACATAGATGCTTTGCTTTGCAAACACCCATTTATTTTAATCTCCTCTGCTCTAAAATAAAAATGTATAAATTAGGCCTTGTTAGTTACACTAGTTTAAAGATTTGAATAATGTCATAGGCAAGTTAGATCAGATTAGCTTGCAGTTCACCTCCCAAGATATGCTGGAACATTGTGATATCGGGAGGTGATAAGCATTCGTTTTCCACACCCCGATCCTCCTCCGCACCCCGCCCTGCTTGGCCCCTTTTCTCTGCTTAACTCTGCTAACCTTCCCATCTCAGTTCAGACAGCCCGCGCCCTGCTCGGCTGGTACCCTCACTGTGTCCTCCCATGCCCCTGGGAGGTCCCTCCATCCCAGTGCTGCTTTCGTGACTAATTGCACTAGAGCTGCGAAGCTTTGTAAATGCAGAGATCGTGTCTAATCATTATTACACTCACACTGCCTGGTACACAGTGAATAGTATCGAAGACAGGGAGGGAAGGAGGAAGGAATCAGTGAACTCAAAGGAGATGGGGGTGGGGATCACTTGAAAGTAAACAAAGAGGTATTTCAACTGCTTCACTCTTAGGAAAGGTAAGGACCTGTGACTGATGTATTGATATGTGAGCTTTTCATCTGCACTTCGCATCTTTCCTCCCATCTGTATTAGTAGAATAACAGGCCGAATAAGGACCTGAAATTAGATAAGGCGAAATAAAGGGAGGATCTGCACGTTACCATGAGACTTAACACATACATTAGAAATTCACACGGACGACTTAGAGATTTAACATGACATAGTGTCCTGGGAGAGACTGCTCATCAGGTGAGTCAGCAGCCCTGAAAGCATCTTTAATTAATTTGAAAATAACTTCCTTCATTTTGGTGTGTGAATGTTCATGTAGAGTGTTCATGTAGAGGAGACTCATTTCTGAGAATATGAATTGTTTTCCTAAGCTAGCGCCACATCTTTAGAAAGAGCATTAAAATCAAGATTTCTATAAAAATATCTTTCTATCTGATACTTTCGTTATCATCTAATTTATGACAGTTAATTTCATAAGGATGTTTGCATGAAATGGCTTGTAATCAATAATATAGGCAATGGAATTGCTAGTAAGCACCATTTACATTTTTAACTCTTATAAAATTCTAACATACTAAAATTTATAGTATTTTTGCACAAGGTCACATATACTTTGATTATGAAATGTTGACAGTTCAATGATAGCAAAGAAATATTATTTTCAATTGCGTGGCCATTTCTTATAAATGTATACTATAGTTAAGTAAGGGAATATGTTAAATAAGCATTTATATTTATTGCTAACTGAGAAGTATTTGTTCTTTGGGAAATTATTAAGATAATTCTTCAAGGAGAGATAGGTAACTATCTAATCTGGCATTAATTTAAAATGATTGCAACTTGAAACTAGTAAGATTTGTATGTCAGTTATACACTGATATACAACCAGATCAAAAATAAAGTAGAACAAAAATGATTGTTTTTCCCAGCATCAAGGAAATTTTAGTATGCATTTTCATTCAAAAAATATTTCTTGTCACTTTAAACGTTGGGCTTTACTCAGTGACTTGGCAAACTGACTCACTTGTTAGTTACCATGTTTACCTGGATATTATTTCATGACTGATGTCATCCAAAGTCACTAATTTTTATCAGTCTACTACTTACTCGAATAGTTGTTCTGCCCGAGAATGTCTACTAATTGCAAACCAGTCCAGAGACGACAGCAGGAAGGAGAAGTACTGGTCACTGCAGGTCCCCACAACCTTCCAGAAGGGAAGATTGCACCGTGGTTCCCCACTGGCTGCACATAAGAACCCTCTGGGTGAACTGGCTGTCACAGTGTCAAAATCTGGACCCCATGTCTGGTTATTCTGATTTAAGTGTTAAGAGGACAGATGGAAATTAGTATGTTTTAAAACTCCAGAGATGGGGTGGGGAATGCAGGTAGAGTAGAAAATCACCGGTCAAAACCGAAGTCCTTTGCTTCTCCAACTTCCATGCAAGTGTCTCCTGGGCATCTCAGCAACGCGCAGCGCCCGGCTCAGCCGTGCGCCAGGCGGGCGGCGGCATCTCCCGCAGCATCCTCAGGCACAGGCGCGGCGGGTCCGCTGTCTGTGACGCCTCTGGGGTCACGTTCCCCGTTTTCCCTTCCCAGCCTCGGGACTCAGGAACCTCGCTTTCTTGGGCACTGTCCTCTCCCTTCCTCTGTCTCAGCCTCCTTTCCAGTGCAATGCGTTTTGAACACACCTTCCTCCAAGAGTTGAGGCCAATAAAAGAAATCTCCCTACCGCCTCTTGTAGGGTGCCTGTCACTCCATAAGGGCTCCACTGCCCTTCCGTTGAAAAAGACGCTTTCGGCTTCAGCCTTGGTTCCAGGCCACCCTGGGGCAAATGGCCTTTCGCCCCCCGCTCTCCGAGGCAGCCCTCATGCCAAGTGTCTCCACTCCTTTGGTGACATGGCTTTCGCCACCTTGCCAGACTTTTCCACTTGACTTGCACGCAGGGTTAGGTTACCCAGAATGACACAGGAGGCGGGCAGGGCAGGAGCCGCGCCTGAGTGTGGGCCCGCAGGTGAGTGCTCGGCTCCGGGACCTCCTGGACGGGAGGGGACGCCGCCAGGCTTGCTTTCAGGAGCCGCTGTCCCCCGGAGATGCCTCCCCCCGCCCCCGTCCCTCGCGGGCGTTCTAAGTGCCTGTTTTTCTTTCCCTGACAGGAAAGAAAAATTCAATTCTTCTGCAAAAGTTCCAGAAGGATCTTAACACTGGTGTTTTCAACAACCAGGAGAACGAGATCCTGAAGCAGATCGTGAAGCACGACAGGGAGATGGTGCAGGCCGCCGCTCCCATCAGCTACCCGCAGCTGCCGGCCCTGAACCCCGCCTCGGCGGCGGCCACGCCGACCTCGCGCGCCCGGACGCAGTCGCCGCCGGTGTACGCCGCGACCAGCCTGCCGCATAGCAGCCTGCACTCCCCCAGCCCCAGCACGCAGACCCCGCCGCCGGCCGCCGTCCTCTCGCCCTGCTCCTACACCACGGCGGTCTGCAGCCCGCCCGTGCAGAGCCCGCTGGCCGCCCGGACTTTCCACTACGCCTCCCCGACCGCGTCCCAGGTGTCCCTCGTGCATCAGCAGCAGCCGCCGCCGCCGCCGCCGCCGCAGCCGCCGCAGCAGCTCCCGCAGCCCCAGACCCCGCAGTCCCACCCGCAGTCCCCGCAGCCGCAGACGCCCGGCAGCTCCACGCCCAAGGCCGACGCGCACAAGAGCACGCAGGCTCTGCACAACACCAGCCTGAGCCGGGAGGTCAGGCCGCTCTCCGCCTCGCAGCCCTCGCTGCCCCACGAGCTTTCCAGCCTCATTTCCAGACCTCATCCCACGGTGGGCGAGTCCCTGGCCTCCATCCCTCAGCCCGCGACGGCTGCCCACGGCGCGGGCCTGCAGGCGGCCGGCAGGGGCGCTGTGCCCCAGAGAGTCACCCTGTTCCGACAGATGTCGTCGGGAGCCATTCCTCCCAACCGGGGAGTCCCTCCTGCCCCCCCTCCACCAGCGGCTCCTCTGCAGAGAGAGTCCTCCTCAGTCTTACACACAGACCCAGATGCGGAAAAGCCACGATTTGCTTCGAATTTATGATCCCTGCTGATCGTCGAAGCGGACTCCAATAAACTGAGCGTGATCTCAGACCTTATTTTATTCTATCTCCCGATACATCCCTATAGCCAACTACGAAGAGATATTTTAGAGAGCTCTGGCCTACACGCAAAATGTAAAAATATATATATATGTATACATATACTATTACATAGAGATCTAAAATCCCAAGCGAAGTTCAAAAGACTTGTTTAGCATTCAGTGTTATATGTCTTCCTTACTTTCAATCATTAAACGGTTTAAAATGTTGTTGTAAGATTATTTATTTTTAATCTACCTTTACTTAATTCCTTTGGTATATGTATTTCTCTTTTTTATGAAGAGTTCAGCGCCAACAAAACTCTGATTTTAAAAAGGCAACTCGAGTGAGCTACTGAATAGCACCAATCAAACCTTCTTTCACTTGCTGTGTCTCCGCATCCAAATTGTTCATCATTAATTAAGGAGGATTAAACAGCATCCCATTTCCTAGATCTAAATTGTATTTTGGTGCTTTCAATTTTGAATTAGGTTAAAGAATTACAGTTATATTTGCTTGGCCACTGTAGGAGACTAGCGTTACCACTGTTATGAGTATCTCTAACCTCAAACACGTTTATCAATCTTTCAGAAAGCAAGGGGATATGTCTCTTCATGTGTTATTGGACTTTTACCAAGACTCAATCAATGTTAGTTGTAAATAACTTTTTCAACCCCAATAAAAAATAGCTATTCTGTGTTGTATGAAGGTCAAAGTCATCGTCTAAGAATTTAGTTTTCTTGCTTCACTTCAAAACTTAGAGTTTTAAATTTTACAAAACCTAATTGTGACAATTATTCAAATGTAATGCAATGGCTTGAAACCTACAATGTTATTTTAACCTGCAATGTTTTATGCAAAATTGTATGCTCGATTCTACAAATTGCTTGTATTACACCAAAAACCATTACTTTTCTTCCTTCTTGCCATAATCAAGCATCTGAAAATAGTCCCTGCATGCTTTTTGGAAAAAAAAAAAAAATAGGTTCAAAGCAGTCATTGTAGGGAAAGGCTCATAGCATTTCTCGTTTCTAGAAAACTATAACAATTTCATTAATTGCCTATTTTAAAATCCCTATAAGGCTGACTTGGATCTCTGACTTAAGTCTAGAAGTGAGGTTTTCACTTTCATTTAATATTATTACTATTATTGTTATTATTATTATTATTATTATTTAAATAATGATTTGTGAACCACAGCTTGATTTGGAGTTGCCGGTGTGTTCTGTCTTCACTGTAGTTGGCAGTTTACCGTGGTGTTAATTTAAAGAAATAAACACTTAAGCCTCGTGTCTGTTTGGGAACACACACTTCGCTGTATGTATATTGTAATTAAGCGGTTAGGAAACCTTAAGGCCTGTGGTGACAACATAGCCCTTAGATAGGAGGTTTGTCATTTTAAATGTGCTGAGAAAGCATTGACGTGGCGAGGGAAAGCAGGGTCACACTGAATGTGAGCATTGTTTGTTTGTTTACTTGTCTGTTTCCTTAACTCTATCCATGATCTGGGAGCATCTTCTTCTTCTGAAAGGAGTCCCTTAGTAATGATTTGTGCCTAATGCATCCCACGAACGTGGTGGGTGCCTGGAACACGATTGGAAGATTCCTAATAGACGACTTTTGTAAATACCCCAAGTTAAGAGAACGACCTGACGTGGAGGTCATTAGTCTTTCCGACACTGGTGGTGCACGTGAGAAGAACCTAAGCAAGATCCCACATTAAACGGAGAGGGCCTCCAGATAGACTTGAGGACAGAACCCCAAAGCAAAAACTCTAAAGTGGATCCATGCTGCCTGTTATGCCTTTTATGGGAAAAAAATTACTTATAATACCAAAATGAGTTGTTATGTTTAATTTCTAACAGGTCCCAGCTTGTGTGGATCAACAGAACTAGTCCATGTAATGTCATGGCGATCATATGGTAACATAGGACGGCATGTCAGGAACGGTGTAAGAAGGGGATTGTTCGTTCCGCCTAGAACCTATGGGAAAACTGCAAGACCATTTACATATCAGTGCAAAATCCTTTATTTTATTAAGAGATTGAGATTTAACTTCAATTTATTAAGATCATGTATTGATCCTTTAAATTATTAAAGGTTTACATTTGATAGGACTAATGGGTTTGGTAGTGAAATATTTTTATATACATACATTTTTGGTTTTTTATTTTAAGGACTATTGGGAAACTTAAGCAGAATTGAATTGCATGGTCTTTCAGTGCAACCATAAAATTTGTATTCCCTTTGTACTAGAATGGTCAAAAAGCTAAGGTTTATATGTTAAACTCACAAAGTGGTACAGGGTAAATTATATACATATATATGTATAAATATATATACTTAGGGTAAGAAAAAATTGACTCACATGCCTGTAATATGAAAGTCAATTGCTAGTTGAAAAGTGACCTTTTTTCTCTGTACATAGCTAAACCCATGGGTATGGAGTTTTAATCTGTACAGAAAGAAATGTATTATTGAAAAGATTGGTCCTGCTGCTGCTGGAAAAATAGTAGACTAGCTGATTCTTACAACAACTGTATGATCAGGGATGAGTTAGAATATTTCTTTTGTCTTTGCTCAAAGCCATACATATATAAATATATAAAGATTATTAATAAATTCAACAAAAATAAACTAAAATCATGAATATTTTATTTTATCAATATAATCAGTAGAGATTTGACTCTGTCTATCTTAATATTAGAAGGTTTCCAGGAGGGCTCATACTTGATCACCATAAAATTAATTATAGATATTCTGTAACTGTAGAAGAAAGGAATTTAAATAGAATATGGGTTTCCCAACTAGTCCTGTGTTTTACTTCTATATAGTACAAGTTAAGTTTTTTTAAAATTCTTTTCCTTGTAATTCCTTAGTATATGGTTGCCCAATTTCAGACATTTCTGTGGTATTATTAAATATGGGGATGAGAAAAAAATGCCCTGTAATTTCCATACACAAACATATTTTATGATAGCCTTGGGCCTTGTAAAGGCTTTGCATAAGGATAGAACCTCCCTACACAAGTAGATTTTGAATCAGACCTAAAAGCCTGAGACAGAGTTGACATTTTCATTAGTATTCATCATTTTGTTCTTCATGAGGTTCTCTGGTTAGGAAACAAAGGCATATTCACAAATCTATTGCTAGAGAAAGAAAATTTTGTTAAAATTGTTTAGAAGAGAATCTTAGTGATTTTGTAATGCTTGATTGCTTTTCTGTCAGTTCTATTAAAAAGGTGCAGTTCTGAGTTGCTCGAAGAAGGATGTTCTGGTATCTGACATAATGAAGTATTTCATTTGAGAAATTAATATTAAATAGTATTTAATAGGTAAATAATATTTACTAGGTAAAAGGCTTGAATACACTATATAAGATACAGTCTCCTTATGTCTTCATACCAAGAATCAAATATATATTAACTATATTGGCTTGTAAACAAACATGGAAAAGATTCAAGTGATCATTCTCCTCACAGCAATTACCTCATGATGCTAAACACATGTCCCAAAGACACTTGCATGAACCAAAATCTGCTTGACCGCCCAATTCAGAACAGCCTATAGGACCTGCAGCAAGCTGGACTGAATATTCTCAACCATGGTTTATCGCTACTTCATAACAGCAAATCTCATTGGGGAGTTAACCAAAACTCATTGGAAGCCCTGTTTTCTTAATACGATAAATAATCTAGTTCATCATCACTGTTTGTAATCAAACAAAATGTGAGTCTTCCGGTGTGTGGCTCATGATCGTCTCTGAAGGTCTTCTAGACCTGTTCCAAGAGCCTTTGATATATACATTTTTCCAACTCTAAACATTCTAAAGATCTGTGATATTTACCTAGAAAGATCTCATAACTGTACAGTTTTATATGTCACCTTTTTAAAAATACTTATAGAGGAATAATGATCAACTTCATTGATTTGGGCTGCTTTTGCATAGTTCTTTTCAAACGGATGATTCTTTACTTTACATAGCCTTCTGTATTTCTGTGATGCGATGGGAGTGATAGCGAAGCTAGGGTGATGCCTGCCCTTCCGTCAGCACAGCATGGTTCTCAAAGAGCGTGCTGCTGCCGTGGCCAAACAAGGCAAGGCTTCTTGCAAGAAAAGTTGTGACATTTGTAATGGCGTTATAGACCCCCAAATTATGAAGTATTTGCCAGGCTTGTGTTCTATAAAGAAACCATGGATTTGGAAATTTTGAGAAGTGGTTTTATTCATCTATTTTAAATCTGGGAGCCAGAAAAGTTAGGGAGATTAGCCCCCCGCCCCGCCCCAAAACAAAGCCACTTCACCTCTCAGTTCTTAGATGTTCCTAATCTTGTCTTTATACATAAACACAATTCAACACTTCCGCCTCCCCACCTCACCAGGAACTGTTTTGGCATCCACAGGTGCTACAGGCCCTGAAATTCATAAGGAAGCAACCTTTGCCGACAATGTCCATTGGAAAATAATCAAAGAGCATTGCATATGAAGAGGGAAAGTCACGTTGGAAGAGAGCAAATGTGTATCTGAATGGGCTTTCCATATTCCTTTTGACAGTGAAAAGTGTCACAGTGCTAGTTCTGAAGAACAAAGGGGAGTCCAACATGGATGCGTTTATGACTCTTCACCTTTAGAAAACATGGCCTAGAATTCAGTTTATTATGGAGGGCCTGATTTTTGTTATCACTTAGTACCACATGCTCCTTTCTTTCTGGTATATCCTCAGAGATTCCTCAATTTCTTTAAAGATGCTTCTTACAGACCTTTTTAACAATGTACTTAATAACCTCCTTGTTTGCTAGGACAAACCCTGTCAAATGATCCTGTGCCTTTGTTTGTAGTGGAGCTAATAACGTGTGTCCGAAGCAAAGACAGTCATTCCAACCGAAGGCACAAAATCTTCATAAATAACAAATTAAAAAGTGAGGTGGAATTAGTTAGTTTACAATGTCAATGGAAAGGTAAAGGGAGAAGCCATAGGTTATAAAAATTCAGTTTTAAAAATATGAGAAACATAGGCTATGCTGGAAAAGAAGAAAGTGTTTGAGAAACATGGAGACATTTTTAGAGCTAATATTCCTTTTCTGACCTATGAGATATTAACAATAGCACCAATATAAATCCTGGGCACTTCACTTCAAAAAGAACGTGACTACTTTGGAGAGGGGAGGGTGTAGATTGAACTAAGATTGTGAAAAGGCCGAAAACGTGGCCTATTGAGAAATAAGAGACAGCCAAAGGCAGCTTTTCAAAGTAGAGAGAAGCAAACCAACCTGCAGACAAACAAAGGCTCCGCGCAGGGGGGGAATCTAGGGGAGGTCAGGACAGGACCCAGCCAGGGAGCTCCTGCGGCTCCCAGAGCTCACTCAACACGGGACCTCATCTTCCAGAAGCTCAGTTTCAGAACTCAGCTACTACCATGTACACTTATGCCAGCAAAGATCTCATGCACTTGCCATAGCAGAATTCTTTATGTAAAGACTTTCAACCAGCAGGTACCAATCTCTCCAGATTGTGGATTTGTATGGGGAAAGTGAGAATTAAAAAAAAAAAAATCTGATATCATTGTATACTAGTATTTATACATTAATTTTTATTATTTTACTCTAAATACCTTTTTGTTAAGGCTCATTTATATAATGCATAAGACATTGCATGTATTCATTTTTTTAAAGAAATGTTATTCCACCGATTCCATACCATTTCAGGAGAGTAATGAGCCTAGTGTAAACTATGAGGTATCAAGAGAGGCCATTGGAAGGGTTTCAAACCATTGTCCCCCGTGCTCCTGTGAACGGGGATTTGTGCTGCACACTCTCTCTCTCATACTTTTACTGCTGAGCAGATACTCCAGTGTTTATATTATAGCACTTTTTATAATAGAAAGTATTTGCAGTTAGGAATAATAAAAATGCATAAGAAAAAACAGCAGCAATGAAAAATTATCAAATTAATCCAAAAATAGTTCTATGGACTCCATTTCTTACACGTTTCCCATCATCTGC